TATTAAAAAAAATATTGATCCTGAAATTTCGTAAAATAATAATCATTAAAGAAAATTTCGATCATAATATTTGCTACTTTAAAATGAACAACTTCCTTTTGGTGTTTTTCATATCATTAAAAATACCAGAGATATTCTAAATAATCCAGCTATAAGCAATATATACATAAAATAATAAAATTAGTATATATATATATGTATATATATATATATATATATATATATATATATATATATATAATATGTGTAATTATATATATATATTTATATATATATATATATATTTTAATTATATTTATATATATATATATATAATAAAATTATTACATTTAATTACACTATTCCATTCTTCGTGTCCATGGGACAGCACTCTGAGACTGATTGCAGGGACGCGGCAATGCGACAACGTGACTACGAGGCGATGCGATAGCCAATCACTGTCTTGTTTTCTAATATATAACTTCAGCTGGATTCCAAAAAACGCATATGCGTGCATTTATCTATAGTTCATGTCACGTATATTATAATAACAAAATGCACGCATATGCGCTTTACGGAATCCAATCTTTGTTACATATCAGAAAACAAGATGGTGATTGACTATCACGTTGCCGCGTTGCCGCATAGCCGCTTTACCGCGTCCTGTATGCAACCAGCCATAAAGCTGGCGGCCATGGCGCGGAAATCCACAGTGGAATCAAATGCACGAACCAATCATAGCGAAAGAACCAACAGAAAACTCCTCCATTCTTTTCATTCTTTCACTATGATTGGTTGCGCGTTATGCTGTAGATTTCCGCGCCATGGGACGCCAGTCTAGCGGACATGTAATACGTGACGCTCAACCGCAACATGCTCTGCTCATTGTACATCACGCTTTGCAAATCTCCCGGCTTACAGCGCGCTCGTGTAAAAAAATGTCCGAAGGTAAGATGAGTTTTTTAATTCATCGATTGATTGACCGCATAATGTGCGAATGCTGTTTTTATAGAGCAAAGTTGCATTTGCGCATAATACGATTTATTAATCGATGAATTAAAAAACTAATAGCATCCAACTGCATACGAATCTTTCATCACAAAACAAGCTTAACTTCTCAGACTCTAAAGTAAATCTTTTGATATCACTAGAACAATTAGGAATAAGGACTGGATAATGTTGGATTTTTAACTTTATTAAGAGTAGGCAAGATAATATAAATATAGATAATTTCAAAGGGAGATAGAGGATCGATGTCACATAACCCCAGTAGCGCGATTCTATAATTCTTAACGACAGTATCGTTATCGTTATATTGTCATTGCACAGCCTTTTTCCCCATATATTATACGTGCATTACGACAACGTAACAACACTGTCGTTAAGAGTTACAGGATCGCATTACAAGACACAATAATCTTTCATCCGGAAGAGGCAAAATGAAACAAAACAAAAAAAGTAAATATTGTTTCAAGCCATAAATGTAACTCTTTGAGTCTTAAAACGAATCTTTAACTTGTTGAAATCTGATATCGCGAACTCCAATTCAAGAATTAAAAAATTCTTTTATTAACCAAAATGATATTACACGTTTCCCTAAGCTTAAATTTAAATAAAGTACATTTCATACAAATATATAAAAGAATATTTTCTCTATATATTAGACAGAGCAACAGAAGACATGTGGACACCATATAAGGAACTGCAGAATCTTGTGGAAAAATATATAATATCAGTTCCTGATGTTCAAGATCCACAGTATCATGAATTTACAGAGGCTTTGCGAAATCACAGACAGAATTTTCTTACTATATTAAAAAATCCGGTAATTAATTTTTTTAATATTTTTATCATTAGATGAATGTAACAAAATGTCAATATTAAAATAACATATATTTAAAAATTTTACAAAGATGTATATGTATAATATATATTAATATTACAATATGTTAAATACAGCTTCAATCACAGGTATGTTTTATTATATAAGTATTATATTTTTATCAGCCAAAGAATATGAAAAGTCGTGAGGAAATTAAGAAAGGAGTCACAGATGGTATTACACTGCCTGGTTTGGGTCATCAAATATTATCAAAAGAGTTGGTGGATGAAACTCTTATCATATCGGATATGTATGATTTGAATGAATTCATGGCATTAGATCTTCTCTGTACGGCTCAACTTCAGATGTCACATCATCCTGGATTAAAGCGTGGTTTAACAGCTGTTCTTTTATATTACGATGGAAGAAAAGCATTGACATCAGTATTAAGGACTTTGGTACACAGTCGAATTGGTCACAGTTGGGCAGTGGATGCGCCAGTCGCTCTCACAAGATATATTACAGATTACACAAATAAATTGCAAGAGGATGGTCTACTGAATAGGATTTTATCTTTGTTAGAAGAAATGGATCCTATTAAGGTATGCTATTAAAAAAAGAGTAATGAAAATAAAAGTTTTATATATAAAAATTTTGTATAAGAGATATTTCTTCTAACTATAAAATTCTTCTAATTATAAAATGTACAAACATATTAATTTAAGAAATTAACTAATAATATTTTAGTCTTTTTATAATACATTAAATATTTGGAGTATTAAAATACATTAAATTCTTTTAAAATAATTTTAACTAGGAACAAGATTTGCTGCAGCAAAATAGAGCATTAGGAGGAGCAAAACATCATCAGATGGTTATGAAACTTTACAATGACACACGGCAAGATTTAGCTGATATTTTATACTTATGGTCTGCTCAATCATCTCTACCAAATATAATTCTGTTTCGTTTATTATCTATATTGCAAACTCGGCAAGTAGAATCTGAAGCAGGTGAAGGAGGACCTGACAAAGTTACACTTGCACTCATTATGGCCGTTTTAAATGCCTTTAATTTTAGTTTCTTACATAGCCGTGAAAATGGCGAAGGTACAGTATATTTCATTCAAATTTAATGTTACATCTATCAATATGAGATTTATATTATAATCTTATTTTTTTAGAATTAATTAATTCAATGCCGTTAATAGCAGAGAGAGAAGCATTGGAAGAGCTAAGTCAAAAATTAATATCTACTAACATAAATTGGGAAAGCGCTGGATTGCGAGGAGTAATACAATTTGCTTTGGCGATAGCTCTGATTACCATCAAAACAACCACTACTCAATTTCAATCTCAGAACATTACCACGGAAGATGAGATACTTATAGAAGCTGCTCTGGCTAACAAAGCTTTTCATTTTATGGCCGATGTTTTATTCAAAAGTAATTGTATCCATCAAGAGGAATTTTATATTCGCTATTTTCACACGTTGATTTCTGATTTTATATTATTGATGCCCGTTAAAATCAAAGAATTACGCAGTCGTGCTGATGAATCCATGCGCTTAATTCAAGCATTCCAGCAGGAAGGAATTGAACCTCCAATGAATTTAGATAATCATTTTGAATATTTAATGTTGATGGTAGCTGAACTGTATAAGGAAGATCAATTGAAATTAAATTTAGCTATGGATTATTGGTGTTATCATACCGATACGACTCATGTATCAGCACCTGCGTATACAAGTCGCTTGCCTTCTAGGCAAGTTGCTTTATTTAAATTTATACGACTTGCTGGAGAAATATTACCGGCGGGTTTATTTGTTTCGTATATGAAAATGATAGCATCCCTCGCCTCATCGCCGCAATCTGCAAGATATGCATTCAATTTTTTTAAACCTAACGGTAAGTGTAAACAAGAGGTTTATTTATGTTACTTATTATTTTTTGAAGTTACATGTATGTATCTGTTGTGTAGGATCATCTGGTTCAGCAACTATTTCATGGGATCATTTCTTCAATTCTTTAAATCGATACTATTATAATTTAAGACAGGAATTACCTCCTAGTCAGGATACAGTATACAGGCAAAGATGTCACCCAAAGGGAATTATGCCTCAGGAAGTTAAAGGCCTCGAGGCAGTATTGTTAGTTGTTCAAGTAATAGCCAAAAATGATGAAATGTCAAGAGTTGCGATATGCGATCATCCAAGTTGGAAAGTCTTGCAGTCTTTGATCGGCTTGGTGAGCTGTGCGATGCCGATACCATTGAAAGGTGTGCTAGTAAGGACTCTCGCGGCATTGGCCAGATCACCGGAGAGTTCTTCCACCGTTTGGCAAAGCTTGGAGGCTGCTCAGTTTCTGTCCACTATACCGACAACAAGCAGTTATCAACCAAGAGGCGTACAAACAGAATTAGAAGAGATCGAATCCCGGAATGAGGAATATCCGTTAACGCGCGCTATGTTAGAGCTATTAGATGTTCTTACCGATTTCCCAATACCACGTCTGTTGGGTGTAGGTCAACGAAATCCAGGATTCGATCCATATTTACATTTTATTATCAATACTGTTTTCCTGAGATTTCATACTCGTTCGTACAAAAATCCCGCTGAAAAATGGGAGGTGGCGGAAGCCTGTTTGAAAATATTTTCGAAATTAATAAAACAGTACGAACCGATCGCCGAAGATTTCGTGGGCTGTAAAGTTGAGTTGCAAGGCGGTGAATCTACTTCAATCAATTCGGCTCCAGGATATCATATAATGACGCAATTGCACACTAATTCTGAACTATTACACGTAATATTATATATCATGGACGAAGGTTGTCATCACTTCGATACCTACGACAGTTTTCCAGGCAAAAAATATCTCGAAAGTTGCAGCCTCTATTGTTTGGAAATATTGGAGCGTGGCTTGAAGATGCAGAATAATTATATGACACAGTTGTCTTCCATACCGTCCGGGAACAAAATTATGACTGGATTGTCGCGACTGTTGCTCGGTATAAATCCTCGTACCGGCAAACCGGATCACATGATTAATATTGCTAAATATATCCAGTACAATTCGTGGCTACCGAAACAAGCCTTCGTAGCAGTTGGCGTTATCCACGGCGTCACTAACGAGCCTGGAGCAGACTCGGAATTATTGTCGACGTTCACGGAAACTCCTACTTTAGCGACGAATATCAGACATGGCTTTGTCGAGTGCCTAGACGCGGATAATATTTCGGAGGATGACGACGAACTAAGAGTGGACGAACAGAGTATTAATAGTAAAATTCCGATTGGAAATTGCAAAGAAAGAATTTTACTACTGATGATGCATAGTATCACGCGGCCTGCGCCCAATCTTGCACATTACTTACTTGGCTTTGAAATAACTAAAGACATTAGGAAAACCATCATCCAGCAACCAGGAATCCTCGGATTTCCACGTACTTGTCTGCACTCCATCTTGGGCATATTGGAGCAATCTCTCGAACGCGGACGCGACAAAATAACTGAAGCCTGTTACTGCTATCTCCATACATTAACGGCTAACAGCAAAACATCAGCACCCGTTCTTAGATTTTTACGTACTACGAGTAATCAGGACTTCGTGCAGAGACATCTTTCGAAATTACCGTTTCAGGGCCCAAATAGGTCTACTGAGCTCAGTTGCATGTCTTGGCTATTGAAAATAGCGGCAATCGAGTTGCGAGTCGCCGGTGGTAGTCTGCAGACTTCTTTACTTCAACGATTGGTGGGGAGTTTTAATCAAGACAAGGACCAAATCGTACCTTCCCAAAAGCTTCTGATGGATCTTTTGCATTATATTGATTTTCAGTTGTATTTGGAACCCACGAAGTCGTGGGAATTCTTCGATCCATCACAAATTGAAATGGTATTAGGTAAATGCAGCACTCCTGTCGCATTAATGGGTGGCCCGTGGCTCATTGATATCAGGAAACTGCATTCTCTCATCACCGAGGAATTGACGGTTACACAGAGCAGTGCTACTGCCACTCAACGCAAACTCATGCAGCAGGAAGTGAAGTCTATACTCGCGCATGCACTGAAGAAGAATCAGACCAAGGTTCTATCATATGCGACTGTTAAATTCGTGGAGGGCTGGTGCCAAACTACGGAAATACTTTTCTCTGTCGCGACAAATCAACAGTTACCGGTAGCTCAACGACAAAATCTTCTGCTGAATTTGTCGCACGACCTGCTACAGAAGATGACATCCTGCGAAGCTTTGAGTGAAATTAAGACATTGGTGTCCGGCACAGTCTTAATGTTACTGGTGAACTTGCGAAACAGCTTCATGATTCAATCGGACAATGAATTATTACCATCGTCACCGTCAAATACGACAATGATGAAAATTATTCTTAGCCATATTTTACAATGGATCATAAATGCCGGAGCATCTTCGCAGAAAGTCGTGACGCATCTTTACGCGGCCTTGTTAAACTTCCTGAGTATCGTCGGCTTGGAGAAATCCGAGCATGTAGGCGCAATCGACTCTATGTACATCAGCCAATTGGACAATTCGTTGAACAAGCTTATGCCCGTGCAAGAACGTTCGCATCGTTACGCAACGATTCAAGTCATTAACAGTTTTGGAAACCAGTTGATGGATATTTTGTGTCACAATTGCTCGGGTGGACATGACGTATGCAAGATGCTCGCATTGTCCTGCCTTGACAAAATTTTAGAACTGGATTACGATAACGCATGGATGATCTATTTAGCGAGCAGAGGCTACTTGAAGCATATGATAGATAGTTTATTGGAATCGGATAGTTTGTTGCGTTGCATATTACAACCAGAACCGCAAACATTGCGTCCTTTGTACTTGTACGAGGCAAAAATGGCGATCTTCTGTAGGATGGCGTCAACAAGATTAGGCGCAGAGAGTCTGCTGGAAACAAAATCTTGTCCTGCATGTCCAGTATGTGCATGTTCGATCAACATCCCGATGTACACATAGGTTTCGAAGGCGGCGACTACTCATTCATACCGTCAGTCGGGCAACGCTATCAGCAAATTTCTTGCCAGCTTTATATCTCTGCGACGCTTTATTCACCACGCTAGGAACAGAAAATCAATCGTGCGCCGTACAAGTCTGTGGATTTCTACAAAGCCACAGAGACACTGTAGAAATGGCTTTAAGAAACGCGTTCTCACACGCCAATGTGCTCTTCTTGAAGGAAATTGCGTGCCTCACCGGCGTAATATCCAGATCCGCTAATATAGGTTTGTATATTATAGAATTAAATAAAAATTCGGCTAATATTATAATTACTCTCATAAATATAATCACTTTTCAGACATGTACAAACTTGTGGATGAAGAACTGGCGAAGATAGACATAGATGATTACAAAATAGAAAGCAGTACTGGAATGAGAGAATTACGAGCGCATCTGTATCGGTTACAAAAACTAATGCTGTCATTATTGCACAAATTTCAATTACATTCGATCCCGATAAATCATAATTACCAACAGGCTGATGCGAATCAGCAATATATTTCGTGTATACAGATAGTCGCCAATGTTATGTTGTATACACGTAATCAAGTAATGTCCACAAATTATGATTATAAATATATCTATATACAATGTGATATCTTGCTACAAATCTTGATTTTTTTCAGATGCAACACAGTCGTATGGATCAGAAAATACGAAATGTACTATTTGATCCTCATTTGACACCGAAGCCTGGAAGAAGACAAGATAAAGTGAAAGATGCTTCTGGTGAAATATGTTTAGGTACAATCGTTGAACAATTGGTTTCCGTGACAAATCTACTACACACTGAATTACCACATATCGACTCTCTAATAAAGAAAGCGCAAATGGTAACCGACATGAGTACAGCGGAATTAAAGAAGGTAAATGCTATTTAAATTTTTCAGTTGAATTTATTATTTTCATATACATATATATTAAAAATTTAATATGATTTTATTGACAGTACATGTTTGAAAATGAGGCGGAACTCGATATAGGAAAACAACGAATGCTTGTCGAACAAAGATTAAATCGTTGGATAAAAGATAAACGACAAAGCATAAAATATTGCTCTCTTATAATAGAGCATGCTTTATACATTCTTTGGAGTCATTTAGATTTTTATACTATGCAAGTTATATCACGGCAAACTCAAAGAATACATGGTTAGTAAAATATCTAATTCCATCTTATTAATTTTTATTAATAGAAAATATATATTTTATCTAATGTTTTTACACATTTACTTTGTTGATCGTAATATGTTGATTCATATGTTTGCACAGTATCTTCAGGCGGCATTGATGAAAGTATGATCGAATGGAAGGTTTCATCAGAAACCTTAATGGAACTAAAACAAGGACTGGTTTCTACATTTAATGACACATTTATTGCACAATTGTTAGATACGCATAATGAACATACTACAGTAGATCATAGCTTCATCGAAGCTCTAATAAGACGGATAAAAAGGTTGTTACAATTTATAATTATAAAATAATGAAAAATTAACGTATTTACATATAATTTCAATTTCAATTGCATATTTTTATTTCGTTTTGTATGCTCTATTTATCATTAATCACCGTTTTGTTGTACCAAATACGACTATGTTTACTATGCTAGATAAAAAAAATATAACAAAGTACGGCGAAATTAAATTTATTCGAAATCCATACATACAGTCGATTTTGATATATTTATATTAAAATCAAGTAAACAACTATTTCTAACTGTAAGTTTATTTTCTTTTGTCATCTCTTGCAAAATACGTTAATAGATTTATATTAAC